GAGGCTGAGTCTCAGTTTCACAGGCTGGAGTGCAGTAGTGTGATCTCAGCTCACTGCAACCTCCCCCTCCTGAGTTCAAGTGATTCTTATGCCTCAGCCTCTTAAGTAGCTAGGACTACAGGCATGAGCCACCATGCCTGGCTAATTTTTGTATTTTTAGTAGAGATGGGGTTTCACCATGTTGGCCAGGCTAGTCTTGAACTCCTGACCTCAGGTGATCCACCCACCTCAGCCTTCCAAAGTGCTGGGATTACAGGTGTGAGCCACCATGCCCGGTCTTTTTTTCTGTATTTTCAAGTGTCTAATTCAATGCCCAGCATCTGCTAATCGCTCAATAAGTACATTTAAAAATGAACGTGACTTTGTTGTCTGCTGCTTTTGATTCTTGTCACCTCCCAAGTCTTTGAAAGCATGCCCGTACTAGTGTATTCACTCTCTCCCATTTCTTTCACTTGACTTTAAAAACTGCTTTCTTTAGATCAGAATCAAGCTTTGCGACTCTGTCTGGGTAGCACTAATGTTGGAGGTCAGTATGGCGCTATCTCTGCCCTCAGTATCAACAATGATTGCTCAAGACTTCTTTGTGGCTTTGCTAAAGGACAGGTAAGATATGAACTTTCTTTAATTCATAAGACAAAGTTAAAATAAGATCAATTAAAAAAACTAATGTCTTTAGGTCAACATTTCAAAGACCAAGATATGTGTTATGAAGTAATGTGCTTGTAGAGCTAACCAGAGATTGCTGAGTCTGATTTTTGTCTTGTTCAAAATTTTACATGATTGTTGTCGACTGACCCAGAGTCTGTAGTTTTTTATTCCTAGTTCATGTGTCTACTTGAGTAAATACTTTTTGTAAGCCCACCAGGGGTGTTACATAAAATGTACTTCCGTACAGTCCTATAAATAATCGAGGCTGCTTTTTAGAAAGATTATGTGTTCCTGGATAAGTATTTTTGCATTTCTTTCTACTTCTGAAACTGGCAGTAGGGTATGGTGTTTTCATCTTCTGATTTACACATCACTAGCTGGTTTGGCAGTATGTCCTTCCTATACTTTTTACCAGTGCTCCACAGATTGACTTATTAGAGAAATATCTTTTATCTCTCAGCATGAGAACAACACTTAAAATCTAAAGAGAAAAGTGGGACGGGTAGGATGAGGGGTAAATGAAGACCGAGTAAAGCTCCATGCTTTAATGGATCTGCACCTTTTAGGTATGTTTTAACTTTATAGTTCTTTGCCTGCAATGTTTGTAGTCCAGGAATAGATTATTTCAGCCCGAAGACAGGATACTTAAGTCTAAAAAAGAGCAATAAATTTGTTTTTAAAGCACTTAGTTGTCTTATAGGTCACCATGTGGGATTTGGCCAGTGGAAAGCTTCTACGATCAATCACAGATGCTCACCCTCCAGGAACAGCAATATTGCATATCAAGGTAAGAGCTTTGTTTTCTTTTTCTAATAATTTTGATTATTATGCCTTTGTGTTTCTTTTAAAGTAAATTTCTCTATATTGATAATCAGAGTCCAAAAAATGTATTTAACATGAAGCTGACCATTACCTCATAAATAGACTCCTTAACATAGAGCTGTCTTTTATTTGACTAGTCCAACGTGTTGTTTTTCCAGGTTAAAACCAGAGATGGGCTAGTGTGGAAATACTCAGCTTTAGGTTGTATTGAAGTCTAATCAATGTAATGGCAAAAAGGGCAAATTGATGTGATCCTAGACTGGAGTTTGGCAGGAAAGACGGGCAGCGCCCTGCTGAAACCCATACGGAGCTCTTTAAAGGTCTTTTTACCTTTGTTTAGTTCACCAGAGTTTTATTGCTGAGGCGGTGTGCTCTGTTACTCTTTTTTGGGAGTTGCCTGAGGTTCAAGACACAGATCATGAAAGAAGCAAGGCTCGGATTATGTTTAGAAGCGAATCTATTGGTTTATTTTCTTGCAGGCCTCTAAAGGGAAAGCCTTAAGATCCTAGTCTTGGCTTTCTCCTTACAGGCCTGAAAAAATAAACTGACTTAGGTAACAGATTTCATTTATAAATACAGTGTGAATGGTTGATTCTTCCATGCTGTCAAGCTCATGTTCAGAAGCATAAAAGGTAAAGGATTATAACTAGAGAAGTCTAAAATCAGATCTTCTAGATTTTAATCATGTACACATTTTGTTGCTTAGCTCTGCAGAGCTCTGTCATCCATAAGTATGCTTTTTAAAGTCTGCAGGCATCTGGAGTTTGTATGTCTGTTTCTAGGTTAGTTACAGAAAGTCTTCTGTGACAAAGCAGTGTGGAAGCATTTAGTAACAATGAAAACAACCCAGACAAGTAAAAGTGCAGAGAATTTCTCCTCTTGCAGACATCATGGTAATATATCTTGACTGCTTTTCATATGGCTTGTGCCAACTTCTAATATGTTATAGTTGTTTGTAATAGGTCTTAACTCTCTTAGTAGATGAACATCTTTGAAATCAGAATCTTTGTCATTTATTTTTGTGTTTTACTATAGTAGCTGCTCAATAAATATTTGATTAAAGGAAAAACTAGCTGGTGGTGTTTATAAAAGGACAATCCTTTTGCAGAAAAAATAATATTAGGAGAAAGAACAAGAAATAGATACAGGCGGAGAGAAAAGAGAAGAATGCAATTGAGATGAATAGCATGTAGTAGGAGCCATTGTGTAGCTTGGCGGTAGTGATGAAGGTGGTACATGCGGAAAATGACACTGGAGTAAGATACATAGGCTTGACTGTTTCTGAAGTCTTCTGCTGGCATCAGCCACTTGCATTTTAATGCTCCTACGCATTGTTCTCCATACCTAACGCTGTATTTCATCAATAACAATTTGGAATTTCAGCCTTTATAGGTAGTGTGTGTGTGTGTGTGTGTGTGTGTGTGTGTGTGTGTGTGTGTATTTATATGAATGCACTACTGTACCAATTTTTATGTACGTTAAAAAGCACGTATACAAGAAATAGAAAATTAAACAGAAATACAAGTTCTGTTATTTTTCCTGCACTCCAGTGGACCATGATGCACACCCCTAGGGTATATGCTTCCCACTCTGGCAACTGCTCATCTAGGCTGTAAGAGTAAAGTTGTGGGGCTTCTTAACTATGCCTGCGTTCAGATCAAGGAAGAATAATTTTACAGTGGCCTTCTGGACCTCAGCCATCCCTGACCGAGAAGCTGAGGCATGCCATTTCAGATGGCTCACTCACCTTTGAGTTTAGGGAGGATAGTCACTGAAAATGGTACAAGTTCAGTTTATTCTAGTTTGTGTCCTGCAGCATCGACCATACTTTAGGTCACCTTAGGACTGTCTGTCATGGTGAATGTTATTTATTAATTATTCTGAGTTTTCTAAGTTAGGTAGTGATAAGTGAAGTATATGCTGTGGAAGAAGATCAAGGAGGTAGCACGTTTTCGGGAGTTATATGAAAAGTGAAAACGTTTTAGATGTAGTGGACTTACTTTTCAGTTATTCAGAAGACATACTCAGATAAGTATATTTCTCAAAGACACCAAATATCTTTTAGAGTCTTTATTCTTGAAAACTGGGCAGCTGTAAATGCATCCAAAGGATCTCATTTACTTAATAATAGCAAGTTACAAAAGTTAATGTAAGAACCAAAGTAGAGAACTTTAGGGTTTTTATCAATCTTAGTTTGTATTTTTCTTTTATCGTGATGAATGATGGTTTTGCTTTTTGAAAGCCTCTGTTTTTTTTTTAAAGATATTGGGCCATTCTTACTCTAAATAAAGGTAAGTTTGTATGTTTACAGTGATGAGCGCTGAATCTAGCTTAGGTTATTTCAAAGGCTATTAAATGTGTACAGTGTAGTTTTTCAAAGTTGTATAATTTTCTCCTTCTTAATACTTGACTGTTTAAAAATCTACAAGCAAATAAATTCCTTCTCTGTTTAGTTTACAGATGATCCAACTCTCGCAATTTGCAATGACAGCGGAGGCTCTGTTTTTGAATTGACATTTAAGTAAGAGACTAATGGACATTTGTTGACGAATGAAAAGACTAGCTCTGGTTTTAATGATTTGAAATTGAACATGAAGAGGTCTAGAAAGCCCACATAATTGAGAGTAGATTATGACTGTGTATCACAGTCACCTGGGAAGGCTTATGTTAATAGAACAGAGTTCTGGGGCTGGTCCTCCAGAGTTTTATCTCAGTAGGGCTTGGTTGGGATTCTAGACTCCTACTCCCCAGGAGATTCTCATGTGCTATCAAGCTTGGGACCACTGTTCTGCAGTAGCTCGCTAATTTTGGCTTAGGCTTAAGGCCCAGTTGATTATAATCATAGTTGGCAGGTGTAAACAGGTTTTTGTTGTCTTAGAATTGCCATGTTTGCTCTTTAAGAGCAGACTGTCTAGATACATCAAAGAACATTTAGGAAGCAGAACATAATATTTATGGTGTATTATGCTTCCATAAGTTCTTCAAGGTTGACTATCTTTGCTTCTTGTATTTCTCAGCAATGCTAAGCACAAAGTAATTTCTGAAAAAAACATACTTCTTATTCGGTTGATGTTTATTGAGCGTCTCTTATGTGTAGGTATTTATCTAGACCCCAGAGTTACAGCTGTGAACCAAGCAAAGTTTCTCCTGTAGCAGAAGTTACATTCTAGTTGTGGTAACAGTAAGGAAACAGTAAGCCAGCACATAAATGAAATCACTTCAGTTGGGTGTAAGTGCCCTGAAGAAAACAAGACAGAGTATTGTGCTAGATTGTACCTGAGGATGATTCTGGAATGGCTTTCTCAGAAGGGGCAACATCTGGAAAAATGCCAGAATAGTCGCCAGTCAGCAGATGCACAGATCCGAGGAAAATATTCCAGGCAGACAACATTCAGACACAGTGGCTTTGAGATGGCCACGTACTTGGCCTGCTGGGGCAATGGAAGAAAGCAGGCATGGCTGGAGCATGACTTTCTCAGGAACACGGTAGTGGGAGAGGAGGGAAGGGAGGAGCCAGAGCATATCCTTTGGCATGGGAAAGAGTTTGGCCTTTATTTTATGTACGGTAGCAATTCGGTGGAATGTTTTTGGCAGAAGAGTAAGTAGATCTGACTGGTGGAATAAAGAGATCATGCCACTGTCCTGTGGAGCTTGGATTGTTGGGGTTGAGAACAGGAGTAGGAGGCTGTTAAAGGAGTCCAAGCAAGAGACAGCAGTGCCTTGCGTTGTTGCTGAATTGATGCTGAGTTTTCTAATTATGTTTTCAGGAGAGTGATGGGAGTGAGAACATGCGAATCTAGGTGTCTCTTCAGTGGTTCCAAGGGTGAAGTCTGCTGTATTGAGCCTCTGCATTCTAAGCCTGAGTTGAAAGATCATCCCATCACACAGTTTTCATTATTGGCCATGGCATCCTTAACAAAAGTAAGTGTATTTAGAAGTTAAAACTCAGAACTTTTAGAAGCTTTGAATACCATATATGTGAAAATTACAAGGTCAGTATTGAAAACATATTTTTCTCTTAAAGATACTGGTTATTGGATTGAAACCATCCTTGAAAGTGTGGATGACTTTTCCCTATGGCCGGGTGAGTACATCTCTCCATCTGATTGGCAAAAGGAAGGACCATGTCAGGAGGTTGAGAGAAACGACTTGCAAAGGGTGGATTCTGTGAGATTGTCAGAAAGCTAGACAGGATGAAAGTCAGTGCTCCAGAAAGTGTTGGCTGGACTTGCCTTGAGGTGACCAGAGCATCGTAAGCTGCTGACCAGCACAGTGTCTTAGGGGTCATGAAGCTTGTACTTTTCTACCTTTTCGCTTTAAGCTGTTCTCTCTTAGATGGCATACAGTTGGCTTTTGTTCTTGACGGTCTCAACTTGACAGTCTCTGTATATTGCTGTCCTGGCACTCTGTGGCACACCTGACTTCATGCATGGATTTTCCTAGAGTTATCAGTGCCCTTCTGAGTGCAGTAAAATGCCCTTATCAGATTTAAAGCTGAAGGATAAGTTGATTTATTGAGTCCATGCCCTGATTTTCAGTGTTTGAAAGACACTTGCTTTTACATGGCTGCTGTGCTGAGACAGGCTTATACTCGCTGTCTGCAGCTTTGGCGCTCAACCATTGACAGAGGAGATCCACTGTCATGTGCGTTGTAGATCGCTACTACATGTGCTTTCCCTGGAGGTATTTTACTTCCTAGCATGTGTTCCTCACATCCCAGTTTCCCCTTTCCTTTCTTCTTGGTTGTTTTCAGAGTTGTGATCTTCCAATGTATGTATGAGGAGAGATATTGACAGGGTGGGATGGGGAATGGTGGTACAGAATGCTGGCTTGTGCAGAAAGCATCCCTATAATGAAAGAGCTCACTTTTGTTTTCTTGTTGGTAACCTGTGCATCTCCAGACCGCAGGTCTATCCGTTCAGACGGCAACGCTGGCTTAGATTGCCATTAATTAGATTAGCTTAGATTAGCTTCATTGGTGCATTGAGATTTTTTTTTCATGGTGGTATGTGTTTGCTTCTTTTTGTGTGTGTGTGTGGTTTTTTTTTTTTTTTTTTGGTATTTTTTCAACATTTTATTATAAACATTTTCAAACAAAGTTGAAAGAATTTCACATTGAATACTTGTCTACCATCTAAATTCTATAATTAACATTTACTGCCCTTTATTATGTATCTGTCCTTCTACCCATCCCTCTGTCCACCTATCAAATTATATTTTTTATGTATTTCAAAAGAAATTGCAGAAACCAGTATTCTTTCTTCTAAATATTTAGAATGCATATTATTAGCTAGAGTTGAATACTTCTTTAGGTTTTTCCTTTGGTGTGGAATATACATAACAAAGAAATGCACAGATCTTGAGTGCACATTTCCTGAACTTTGACAAATGGATAACACTTTTGTAGCCCAAATTCCTATCAAGATGTAGAATATTACCATCAACCTAGAAAGTTCCCCCATGACACTTTCCAGTTAGTTGTTGCTTTAACTGAGAAATTGGGGAAAGTTTTGATCAAGGAACATTAGTCAGATGCTGTTTTGAACCATGGTTTTCTCCTTGTCCCCTTGTTTATTAACTGTGATGACTTTTTTTTTTCTTCTCCCTACTTAGATGGATCCTTCCAGTGTGCCGTTGCTGGCCTGGCACTTTGTAGCAGTACATAATTATGTGAATCCAATGCTTGCCTTCTGCAGAGGAGATGTTGTTCATTTTCTATTGGTAAGTCCTAATATGATGCTAGGTCCATTATAAAGCCTCTTATAATTCTTTTTATTCATCAGTAATTTAATAATGTGTCAAAGAAATTTGTCTTACTATCATAAGTCTTTGGAGAGAGAGTGACCGATTTCATTTTTAGCTAAGGCTTTATTGACTAGCATGGGAAAAAGGTGATCACACTCAGCTCCATAACCTCTCATGGTTTCTCAGCTCCATTTCTTTGACTGACAAATAATTAATGGTGTATGTAAATATATAAAGATAGGAACGTGAATATGTATGTATTAATGTATGTATAACTACATGTGTGTGTACTACAAGTATCACTGAGCACCGACTGTGTTCTCTACACTGTGATGGGCACAGCAGCAATGGAAAGAAGAAAGTATACAACGTAATTTCATCTTTCACACAGCTTATAGTCTTGTTTAAAAGCAAAATCAATATGTTTGTGATTACTACAGAAAACAGTTTAAGGATTGAACTATGGGAGGCAAATCGAGTTGATATAAATTAGGAGTACAAAGTGATTGGTGTGGACTAGCGAGCCCATTGGTGGCTTTATGAAGGATATACTGCAACTACGGCAGGAAGGGTGGGTATGCATGCGGGGGAAATGAGGTATCTGCCATCGCTTCCTCGCTGGTCTTTGGCCTCAGTGCCTTTTACATATACTGTGGTGTGTGCCAGGAAAGTTCTGTGCTATCTTCCATTGTCTCCTACCTCATGATTAACATGGCCTTCCCTGACCTTCTGAACTAGGTTAGTTACATACGTCTTTTGACAGCATTCAGCACTTAAAAAAAAGAGAGACGAGGTCTTGCAGGTCTCGAACTGAGGCCCAGGCTGACTCTTGAACCCCTGGCCTCAAGCAATCCTCCCGCCTCAGCCTCCAAATCTTGGGGTGAGCCACTGTGCTTGGCCATATTCAGCACTTTTAAAATTACTTATGTTTTTCTTCCTCACTAGACAGAAAACTCCATAACTCTAGAGACCAACTTTACTGTTAGGTTTCCAGCCAGTAGGACAGTGCTTTTATATTGTAAATGTTTAATAAATGTTTATAGAATTAATGACAGGGAGAAACCTGTGCTGGAAAATGTAATTGAGGATACGGGGAGGATTGCCAGTAGGGGTTGGCAACCTGTGGCCTATGGGCCAAATCTGGCCTGTCTTCTGTTTTTGTAAATAAAGTTTTATTAGAACATCCCCTGATGCAGCATTTGAGAGTACCACCTTCACTTTCAACTCAACACACTGAAATATTCCTTAATCATTTTCTCCCCAGTCAGTCTCTCTTCAAATATTCCTTGATTCTAAAACGCAAAGTCAGAAATGGGAAGTTTCATTCATGTCCGTCGGTCCCTAGATCCACTATGATGAGAAGGCTTGTTTTCCTTGAAAGCATCACCCCTTAACTCTCACTGCAGCCAGCCATCCTCGTCTGAACACCTAACGCCTGCTTTATTGTAGAGAAAAACCTGTAATTTTTCTCCTGCCTTCTGTGTGTATTCTTTTTTCTACTTTTAGACTGATCTTCTTAAAATGTCACTTTAATCACATCTTTATGACTTTAATTAATTGGGAACCTGTGATGACTCCATTGCCAGTCTAGGCAAGCCATTGTTAATCTAGATCGGGGTTACCAAGCTTTTTGTGTAAAGGGCCACACAGCAGATATTTTAGGGTCTGTGGACCACATGTTCTCAGGAAACAGAGAGAGAGTAGTGACTGCCCTTAGTCACATGGATATAATAGTGGAACTTAGAATTAAATAGATTTCTCTACATCCATGTTCATTTTACCAGAGGATCCTTTCTGAAGGGAGAAGTGATTTAGTGAAGTGAAGGTGGGTCCACGTGAAGGCTCCACATTAAGTGGTCTCAGAGTTCTGTTAAGATACCAGGTGAGGTCAACACTGTATGTGATGAGACCAGAAGGCAAGGAGAACTGTGACTTAAAGGGAAAGAACTATAACACTACTGTGGGGAGTGCAGGAAAGCCCAGGTTGAAGTGAGTATCAGGAATTTCAGGTGGCCAGGTGTATCTTGTGCTTTATATTTTTTCTTCAGTGATCTGTTACCTGGGAGCGGACGGGGAGGAAGCTAATGATTAGGGTGACTAAGGATAGAGAGTGTATAGGTGCAAACATATTAATGGAAGATTGACACAGTCCTTTTGGGAAATTTTGGGCTGTTAGAGTTACACAAGGGAACTTCAAAAAGTTTGTGGAAAAATGGAATTAAAAAATAAAAATAAATTTTATTTCTCAACGTAAGCTTCATCTTGTTCAAGATACTTTTAAAAATGATGATACCAGCCATATAGTCCATCCCTAAAGAACTGAAGGTCTTGGGAATTTAACTGTCAATGCAGCCTTTTTTACATTATTAACTAAAGAAAAATAAGTTTCCTTTACAGACTTTTTCTAGATTAGGAAACAAAAGTCACAAGGAGCCAAATCAGTACTATACGGTGGATGCCTAAGGATTTCCCATCGAAATGCTCTCAAAATTGGCCTTGTTTGATGAGAGCAGTGAGCAGGAACATTGTAGTGGTGGAGGACTCTTTGGTGAAGCTTTCCTGGGCGTTTGTCTGCCAAAGCTTTGGCTTTCTCAAAACACACTCGCAATAAGCAGATGTTATTGTTCTTTGGCCCTCCAGAAAGTCAACAAGAAAAATACCTTGAGCATCCCAAAAAATTGTTGCCACTCTGGGAGGCTGAGGCAGATGGATCATGAGGCCAGGAGTTCCAGACCAGCCTGACCAAGATGGTGAAACCCCATCTCTGCTAAAAATACAAAAATTAGCCAGGCGTGGTGGCAGGTTTCTGTAATCCCAGCTACTCAGGAGGCTGCGGCAGAGAATTGCTTGAACCTAGGAGGTGGAGGTTGCAGTGAGCTGAATGGCGTCACTGCATTCCTACCTGGGCAACAGAGCAAGACTCTGTGTCAAAAAAAGCAAAACAACCTGTTGCCATGACCTTTGCTGTGGCCTGGTCTGCTTCTGCTTTGACCGGACCACTTCTGCCTCTTCTCCCATTGCTTTGCTTGTGCCTTCTCTTCAGGAGCACACTGGTAAAGTCATGTTTTATCTCCTGTTACAGTTCTTCAAAGAAATGCTTCAGGATCTTGATTTCACATGTTTAAAATTCCCATCGAAAGCTTTGCTCTTGTCTGCAGCTGATATGGGCACAACTGTTTTGGCACCCATCAAGTAGAAAATTTGCTCAACTTAAATTTGTCAGAATAGTGTACGCTGAACTGGTTGAGATGTTTGTGGTGTTGGCTGTTGTTTCTGCTGTTAATCATTGATCTCTTTCAATTAGGGCATGAACAAGATGAATATTTTTCCTCGCTAATTGCTGAGTATGGTCTACAGCTGCAGGCTTCACCTGTAACATCATCTCATTCCTTCTTAAACCGAGTTACCCATTAGTTCTCTTGGGGCATTGTTCCCATAAACTTTTATTAAGCATCAGTGATTTTACTATTCTTCCACCGAAGCTTCACCATAAATTCGATGTTTGTCCTTGATTCAATTTTAGCATAATTTATATATAAATTCTGCTAAAATTAGTTGCTTTTTTGGGGCTCTTTTCAAACTGACGTCTTATCCTGCTTAATGCCTCAAGCTAGATCCTTTTCAGACATGTTAAAACAAGTTAATGTGAGTTTATTTTGGTGCAAAAAGTTTTTGAGATCCGTGCACTGTTTTTTTCATGGTGTGCATTTTCCATGAACTTTTTGAAGTCCTCTCAGAACAGTGTTATCGTTCAGGAAAATCTGGTTTATATCACTACAGCATCTTTTCTCCTTTCGTGACTTTTGACTTCCTCACACCATGTCACCGTTCCTCTTTGTACTTTAATTTTTGTCATTGATGTGATAAAGTTAAGTTGTTCTGAATTATTACGTCACAGCATTTTTCGATACTGACAACTAGACCACTCCCAGATATGCCCTGCATTTTGGTGTAAATAATGGAACAAATAATTTTTTAAAAATTTTCGTAATCATTTCATTATCAACATTTTTGGCTAATCTACAGTGAATGGGATAATGGGTAAATGTGATACTCTAGGTGGAGTATAATTAAATATCTTAAAAAGTCCCTCAAACAGTAGCTGGTTTTTAGGTTGTTTTTCTTTCATCATCAGGTAAAGAGAGATGAATCTGGAGCAATACATGTTACTAAGCAAAAGCATCTTCACCTATACTATGACCTCATCAACTTTACTGTGAGTATTATTAAAATTAAATATCCCCATTTATTTCATGTAATTGTTCTGAATCTGTGGTATATTAAAGCTAGCAGGATTTCTGCCAAGAATTATTACCTTTAAGATCATATGAAATATGGACAGCCAGGCACCGTGGCTTGTGCCTTTAGTCCCAGCTACTTGGGAGGCCGAGGTGGGATAGCTTAAGCCCAGGAGTTCGAGGCTGTAGTGCTCAATGATCGCTCCTGTGACTTGCCACTGTACTCCAGCCTGGGCAATATAGTGAGACCCTGTCTCTTAAAAAGAAAAAAGTATGTATCTATATGTGTGTGTGTGTATATATATGTATCTGTATAGAAACAGACACATACACACACACAGAGAGAGAGAGAGAGAGAGAGAGAGGGGAATGAAGTCCCAGTTATATTGAATAAAGTCTGAATGTGGTGTGAGGCCACTGATTATTGCCTTTCAGCCTGTGTCCTGCTGAACACAGGCAGGATTAGAAATTTCATGTCTGGTTTAGCTCAAAGGGAAGTTTGGCTTCAGAAGTATTTAGGTGAGTTTTTTGAGGATCATTGCCCTGCTTTCCCTGTAAAACATTTTTTGTATTTTTGAGCTTTTCTTAATTTCTTGTGGCTAAAATCTTTGCAGAGTTCTCTTTCTACCATGCCTCCCAAACCTGAGTGACTTCTTGGTTTAAAAAGAGAGATTTCTTTTTGTATCAAATTTTATTTTTTCTCTCTCAAACAGCTTGTTAATTTTGAGAACAGGGTAATTATAATATTTCTGTGTTCCCATCATTAGTACATTTTAGCACATCAGTGTCTGGGGTCCAGTAAAACATTCTGCAGATGCATGAATATAGGCATAAATAGAAGTCATTTTTCTAATAAAAAGACTGAAGAAGAGTTTTTTCCCCCAACTTGAAACTGTGTAATTTTTGTAGGATACAGAAGAAATAGATCTTTTCTTTACATGATTTATTAATTGTATGTTACATTTTTAACTCACAATTGTTTAGAAATAATTCATACACATTTTATGAAATAATTTTGTTGAGACTCTTAGAAGACATCATTGTTGTCATCACCAGAGCTGTCTTGTTGAATCACGTCGCACAGCTTTTCAGAATTTATCATCTTCGCTTCTGTTTCAGATGTTTGAGATACAGTACTTTAAAAACCTGCACAAGTTTGTCACTGGAAAATTTTTTCCCCAGCCATAAGTAACCATTCTAACAATAGGACAGTTGGTGTTTTTAGTGACCCTGTGGCATATCCATAGTGTGACCATGAACTGCATTGCTTTGTAAATTACCTATAAAAGGCTTATTTACAGCAATGTCAACACTTTCAGCTCTGTGGGTCTAATCTCAGGAATAATTACTAGACTTATTGAGGTTCATTTTTTTTCTGCCATTCTTTTGTTTTCATTTAAACAGGTGACCTTTGGAAGTACCTAAGAGTTAGCACTGATTAAAGTTGTATAAGGCTAAATAATGTGATTTTTCCTAGAAAATACTTTGTTTTTCTAAATAAAATAATTTAGAGAGCACCTTGTAAGAGCTTTCTGTAAAAGATTTGCATATCAAACTCCCTGTTTTCTGAAAGAGATTTTTTAGAGGAGGAGAGGGGAACAAACTCTTCCCTTAGAGTGGCTAATATACAGTATTAGAGTATATTTTTAGCATATGTTAGAAGAAAATCTGTTTTCAACTTGGTTATCTTTAATTGAGCATTACGCAAAGAATATCTGATGACATAGACTAGAACGTACATATACACCAGCATGAATACCAGAGACATAAAGTGCAGAGGAAGTGCTTGGCTCTGGTCACTTCTGGATCCTAATTGAACAGATTTGAAGATTTATTTATTGGGAAGGGAATAGAATTGCCAAAAAATTTTTTGAAAATAAGTAATCTGATTTTATACATAACCCAAGAAATTTGTTAAAATGGCATCCTTCAGAAGATCTTTAAAGTTATTATTGTTAGTACTTAGTACTTATGAAAGAACATTTGGGAGATATAGAGAAATAGAACAAAGAACTCTCGTAATTTTAAGAGAGATTTTGAAGGAAGTAGATTTTTAAAATAGCTTTCTTTCATTTTAATATATTTTAAAATATGTATTCCTTCAGTGCTAACAGTTGTCCTTTGACCTGCTAGGTTCATGAGCTTTACCTTGTTCTTTTGTTTCAGCAATATCATGAAAACTAGAAATGCTGAGTTTGTCATGATACTGAAGCCATTTGTACCAATTGCTTTTAAAAATCTTTTATAAAAAACTGTACACTCTAGTCTACCTACAGCAGTCATCTTTTACGCTATGAAAGTGTCATTGTTAACACTTTGAAAAGTCAATAGTGTATTCTACCTCCTTACTGTTCTCTGGGCTGTCACTGAGGAGTTCTTGCTTTGATTGCGTTGCCTTGTAAATTGTTAAATGGATAAAGTCCTCAGTGTAGTTTAATTGAGCAGCCAAGCCTTCTTCTTGACCCAAATGATGATGCGGGTGTGGTATCACTTTTGTTTTGCTGTGTGCTTGAATTACAGTGGATAAATTCCCGCACAGTCGTGCTCTTAGACAGCGTGGAGAAGTTGCATGTGATTGATCGGCAAACACAGGAGGAACTGGAGACGGTGGAGATCTCAGAAGTTCAGCTGGTCTACAACAGTAGCCATTTCAAATCACTGGCCACTGGAGGAAATGTTAGCCAGGCACTGGTAAGGATAATCAGTTGTCTTGGCATTGCATTGATAAACTTGGTATTTTGTTATAGTTGTTTTAGAAATAGGAACTCTGGGGTGTTATCTTTTTCTCTGTTGAAGTGTTTCTTTAAAAGCCACTAGGTTCAAGTGGGTGTGGATATTCTTATAAGTGTTTAGGAACACAAGCTAAAACAATAAATTTTGTCCCCTTCTATTCAGAAATGTGACTTATTTTACTTAATACCAAAGTGTTTTAATTTTTATACTAAAAATAATGAAGTATAATGGAAAATTTTTGAGAAATTGTAAAATCAAAATATTTTCAGAAAGCTTAATCTGGCAGTGATAAGCCTGATAGATTTAAGGGATAAATAATTACAGATAGTTCCTTATGAGGCTTTGAAAACATTTGAGTGATCATGGTAAAGGCTTGGACAGGTATGGTCGCTGTGGGTATTAAAAAGCAAAGATGTCTTTAAGAGAAAGAAGATATTTTAAAATAGGTGATAGATGAAATGTAGGAGGCTAGAGAGAAGGAAGACACAACAAAGCTATGGTCTTAGCGTTAATTTTGTATCATTGAGCAACTACAGTAATGGCCTTAAGCAATTTCCACAGATAGTTCATAGTTCAATCGCCTTGAATTGTGATCTCATGTTCCTAAACCATGAATTTTTAAGTAGCAAATTTAGACCATTGTGAGACTTCCTTGCATACTTTTTTGGAAAAAAATAGTAATGATGATCATATTTAATGAGTGAATACGTAGGCTTTGCTTAAATCTTCCTCATATTATAACTTCAGAGCATAAAATATATATGAAAGGGTCTTCCAGCCTCCCACTTTAAAAACCAAGGAAAGCCAGAGTAAGAAATGATAGTGCAATATAATTCACTAAGTGATAATAATAATTACTGTTCCACACTGTTATTTTCCTGTGTTTGAATGGTATTAAAAATACCAGTGGACTTTGAACTTGTACTTTTAGCCAAGATAGAGTTGTCGGGGATTTGATTTACTCTCCTGCTTGAAATAACCGAAGGAGGAGGAAGAGGACGGGGAGAAGGGAGAGGAGAAGAGGAAGAAAAAACAGCAGCTCTCAAGATACTGAACACCTGTGATGACGGACAGCAATCTCTCACAAAACGGGGAACAAATGATGTGAACTCTATGATTGTCCTAGCTTCCGGCCTTGAGAGAGTGTCTGGGCTGTGGAAGAACCCAGCTGGAGTATGGAAGACTCCATGAGTTGAGAAGACAGAGTCTAGATTGCAGGAAGACAAAATTGGGTTGAGTTTGTAGGACAGAGCACTGGAGAAAAGAGCACTACGAAAGAGTCCCCCTTGAGTTCCTCAGACTACGGATCAGCAAATGCATATGAGGAAGCTGCCCAAGGACCAGGAAAGAGCCATTTGAAAGGTTTAGAGGGAACCACGTCTAGTGCTCACACAGGGCTAAAAACAGTGCTTGTTACACCAGCCAGAATGGAAAGTTTCATGATTCACAGGGCATCGGGTAGAGTACTTAGAGGCATCTTGCCTCATTAGGACTAGAATAAATACCACACTGGTCCCAACTGACACATCTTAAAAGTAAGACCAGAAAGGATCAAACCATTTCCAAATCACTTATCTCCTAGAACAAAGCACAAGAATATTAATAGGAATACAGAAAGATCCAGAAACCAACAAAGTAAAATTCACAATGTCTGCCACCCAATTAGAGATTACTAGGTATACAAAGAAGAAAAACAACCTATGGCCAGGCGCAGTGGCTCATGCCTGTAATCCCAGCACTTTGGGAGGCCAAGGTGGGTGGATTGCTGAAGTCAGGAGTTTGAGACTAGCCTGACCAACATGGTGAAACCCTGTCTCTACTAAAAATCCAAACAAACAAAAAATTAGCTGGGCGTGGTGGTGGGCGCCTGTAATCCCAGCTACTTGGGAGGCTGAGGCAGGAGGATCACTTGAACCTGGGAGGCAGAGGTTATAGTGAGCTGAGATTGCACCACTGCACTCCAGCCTGGGTGACAGAGTGAGGCACTGTCTTCAAAAAAAAAGTTAGACATTGAATTACCAACCTGACCCAGAAGTTCTGCTCCTAGGTATGTTCCCAAAAGAGTTGAAAACACATGCTAACATAAAAACTTGTATATGAACATACATGGCAGTATTATTCTTAATAGCTGAAGAGTGAAAACAATCTAAATATTCACCAACTGGTAAATGGATGTACAAAATGTGGCATAGCCATTTAATAGGATACTCTTCCACAGTAAAAAGTATGTCAGCTGATACTTGGCTACAGCGTGGATGAACCTCGGAAATACTAAGTGAAAGAAGACATGCAAAAAGAGTACGTTTGGTTTAATTCTATTCGTATAAAATGTCCAGAAAAGGTGAATTTAGTTTACAGAGACAGATGTGCATTAGTAATTACCTGGGTTTGGAGGTGGGAATGGGATTGACTACAGATGGGTACAAGGATCTTTGAAGAATGATGACAATGTTCTCAAAATGGATTTTGATAATGGCCAAATAACTATAAATTTACTAAAAAAATCACTGAATTGTGTGTCTAATGAGTGAATTTTATGGTGTCAGTTATATCTCAGTACTGTTGTTTAACAAAAGCAATTCACTGTTTAAAACAAAAATAATGTGTTGTAAAGTTTGTGATAGATAGAAGCAATATATATAACAAAAATAGCACATAGTGCCAGGATGTAGGAGATGAAAGTACATCATTGTAAGGTTCTTACAGCGTGTGTCAAATATTATTTAAATGTTGACTGAGATAAGTTGCACATTGTAAACTATAATCACTAAAAAAGAGGTGTAACTAGTAAGTCGTTAATAGTGACAAAATGAAATGTTAAAAAATATTAAATACAAAGAAATATTTTTAAAGAGATACAGTGGCTCATGTCAGTAATCCCAGCACTTTGGGAGGCCAAGGAAGGAGAGCTGCTTGAGCCTGGGAGTTCAAGGTGACGGTGAGCTGTAATCACACCAGCACTACAGCCTGGGTGACAGGGTGAGACTCTGTCTCTTAAAAAAAAAAAAAGATTGTACTAGTAAGAAACAGTTAGTAAGATAATAAATCTAAACCTAACCATATCGGTGATTCTAAACATTTCAAGTAAAAGGTAGAGATTATTAGCTAGAAAAAATAAGAACCAACTACATACTATCTACAAAAAACTCTACATTAAACCTACATTTTGTCTACCAAAAAACGTGTAAGTTAAAAGGTTGGAAAAAGATAGATCATGCAAACACTAATCATGACAATGTCTATATTAATTCTAGTCTAAGTGGATTTCAGATTAAGGAATATTGTCAGAGATGAAGAGAAATTTCAAAATAATAAACAGGTTAATTAAGAAGAGAAAACAGTCTTAAAAATTTAAGCACCCAATAACAGGACTGTAATGCAGGTGAAGCAAAAACTGATGGAACTGAAAGGAGAAACAGACAAATCCACAATTATAGTTAGAAATTTACTAGCTTGTCTTTCAGTAATTAATATAAGTACATGGAAAATCATTAAGGGTATAGAAGACTTGAAAAAACACAATTGACCAACTGGACCTAATTGACATTTATAGAATATTCCACTCAATAAAAGCAAATTGGCAGTTTTTTTCAATTGCACATGAAGCTATTATCGGTATTGAGTACATGTGATCCCCCTTCACACCCTCTAGAATGAAACCAAAATTCAACAAATTGGAAAATACCGGAATTATCAGGATGAATCTGGAGAAAACTCAAATATTTGGAAGTTAAACAACGTTTTAAAATAATCCATGGACAAAGAATAAATGACAAAGAAAAATAGAAACTATTTTGAGCTGAATGAAAATGAAATACAAAATATCAGAATCTGTGGCTTACACTTAATTCATTTTTGAGGGTGATTTATAGTATTAAATACTTCTATTAGAAAAGGAGAAATATTTATGAAATCAATTATTTAAGCATCTCTCTTAATTAAACAGAAAAAAGAAAAATAGACTGAAGGAAGAAATATTAATAATAAAGATGAGCACAAATCAATTAAGTAGAAAATGGACAAACAGCAGAGAAACATCAAAGAAACCAAAAGCTGGTTCTTCGAAAGATGGATAAAATTGATAAACCTCATGCAAAACTGATCAAGAAGAAAAGAACATACAATTGCCAATATCAGGAATGAGAGAGTTGACATTACTATACAGTGTGCAGATGTAAGAGGGTAATATGAATAATTTTTTGCCTATAAGTTCAACAGCTTTAGGTGAAATAGAGAAAAATCCTTAAAATATGCAAATTACCAAAGCTGACTTCAAAAGAAATAGAAAATCTAAGTGGTCATATATATGTTAAATAATTTTGTAATTAAAAGTCTTTCTACAAAGAGACTCCAGGCCCATATTGCTTCATTGGTGAAGTATTCCAAAGATTTAAGGAAAGAATAGTGCAAATTCTACACAAAAGCATCTTTTACAAAATAAGAGAAGGGAGCTTAATTCATTTTATGAGCCTAGCATAACTCTGATAATAAAACCAAAGATACTGTGATGAACAGTATAGACCAATATTCTCATGAGCACAGATACGGAAATCCTTAAAAAATATTAGCAAATAGAAACCAATGTATAAAATGAGTAATAAATCATGATCAAATGGTGTTTATCCAAAGTGTGCAAGGCTGGTTTAATATTTGAAAATTGACCAGGTGTGGTGACTCACACCCGTAGTCCCAGAGGCCAGGAATTTGATGCCAGCCTGGGCAACATGGTGAAACCTTGTCTCTGCAAAAAATACAAAAATTAGCCGGGCATGGTGGCACATGCTTATAGTCCCAGCTACTCAGGAGGCTGGAAGATCGCTTGAGTCTGGAGGCAGAGGTTGCAGTAAGCCAAGATGGTGTCACTGCACTCCAGCCTGCATGACAGAGCAAGACTCTGTTTCAAAAAAAAAAAAAAAGAAAATTTGAAAATCAGTGTTATTTACTGTGTTAATAGATTGAAGAATAATAACCATAAGGTTATCTCAGTAGATGCAGAAAAAACATTTGACACAATTCAATATCCATTCCTGATAAAAACTCTTAGCAGACTAGGAATTGAAGGGCACTTCTTTAACCTGATAATAAAGGGCATCTATTGAAGTCCTATATGTAGCTAACATCCTTAAAGTAACACTGCTACCAAAAAAAAAACATCCCTGAATCTGATGAAGTCTCCTTTTGAGAAAACGTAGAAGACATGTTATGCAGTTCCCTGGGGATACAGTCGCAAAATCCAAATAGTGGGAAACTACAGAATAAGTGCTTCAGCTTTCTTCAACAAATGAACTTCAAGAGAAGTAAAGGATTGAGAGAGATGGAAGCAAAACCTATAGATCAGAGAAAACTTAAGAGATAAGGTCCAATAGTGAACCTTTTTTAGATCTTAATTCAGACAAATGAAATGTATAAGAGCAAAACAACAAACCTCACCAGCACTTGGTGTTTATGAGACAATTTAAAATCCAAACACTGATTGGATATTTAATATTGAGGAATGATTATTGATTTTTAAAAGTATGTTAATGGAATTGTGATTATGTTTAAAAGGACTCTTTTTAAAAATGTGTACTGAATTTTTATAAGTGAAGTACTCAAAATTTGGGATTCACTTCAAAATTATCCTGTGTCCTAGGGAAGTGGTGGAAATTACAGATGAGACAAGATTGGTGACAAGTTGGTCATTGATGCTACTGGTTCATAGATACATTCAGGGATGACTCAATTGTTCTTTCTACTTCTGTATAGATTTAAAAATTCCCACAATAAAAAGCTAAGAAAAGTTATAGCTGTCAGTTATTGACCACATATATTTTGGGAGATTTTTAAATATTAACATATTTAAGCATTAGAGAAACTTTGCAAGGTTTTTCAAAGATGAGAAGACTGTCAAAAGGTTTGAAAGTTGCTTCACACTATACAAATGTATGTAAGTGGCAGAGCCAAGATTTGCAACCCAGATTATCAATGAGTTTCTCTTCTATTTTGCTGCTATGCTGACTCCCATATTCCTCACTGCTTTGTCATCTGCTCTCCTCTTGTGATTTATGTTGATATTTATTTCAAAGAACTTGGAAGTGCCATTTTCAATCAGCCCCATTCTTTGCCAAAAGCAATGACAATTTGTCATCCAACATGGGCAGGACGAAACAGTTTTCCTTTAGATTTGGAAAGTTGGCATTCTTCCTCCCTTTTCCACATTATTCTGAAAATTAAAAGGCTATATACATAAACAGAGAATTTGGTTTTTTTCTGTCACTTCTGCTGTCAAACTGATGAATGACATCAGTTTCATCTCCCACTCACTCACTTAAGGTATGAAACTACGTTGACCTAAAATGTTGTCTCTATAGTTGACAGTCTTTAAAACTTAATGAGGCTTCCAGTGCATGTAATTTTTACCTTTTTTGTATGTATTTTTTTTTTCCAGGCTTTGGTTGGAGAGAAGGCTTGCTATCAATCCATCAGCAGCTATGGTGGTCAGATCTTTTATTTGGGGACAAAAGTAAGCTCTTTCACTCTGTGGGTTGGTATTTGTATGTATCAGGATAGTTGAGGCTGAAGGCCTGGTAAGGAGGGCAGTGTATTGTGAATATTGATCAGCACTTATCCAAAATGCTTTGTGGTTAGGTAGTCATGCTTTTTAGTTAATTCATTTTTTTTCCTCCAATTTTAGACATATTCTTTACTTTTGTTTAGGTGTTGGCTACTAGGATGCTTATTTTCTTGATTCACAGATGTGCTTTTATAAGCTTTCTTCACATTTATGTTTTCATGACCAGGCAGCTACCTAATCATGGATATTTGTCATGTAATTAAGGTGGCCATTAGCTTAGATCAGTCTAGGATGCTGATTAAAATGCATTGAGATATTTGACTTAGAATAGTATCGTTGGAATAGGAACTTTTTGTACCTCAGTTTATCTCAATTTGTTCCTGTGCTTTAAAAAAATATATGGAGAAACATTCCTTCATTATTAAAATTTAATCAAAATATTGCCAAGTCAGTGGAGGGAAGTGGGCTTGGGCTTTCCTTGCCCCTTGTCCATGGATTAACCCCTTGGACTGTAGACCTTTAAATATTTGACTTACTCTTTAATGTGGGTTCTAGGCCAGGTGTGTTGGCCCATGCCTGTAATCCCAGCACTTTGGGAGGCCACCATGGGCAGATCACATGAGGCCAGGAGTTCAAAACCAGCCTGACCAACATGGCGAAACCCTGTCTCTAGTAAAAATGCAAAAATTAGCCGGTAGTGGTAGCAGGTGCCTAAATCCCAGCCACTTGGGAAGCTGAGGAACGTGAATTGCTTGAACCTCAGAAGCAGAGGTTGCAATGAGGCAAGATTGTGTTGCTGCCCTCCAGCCTGGGCAACAGAGCAAGACTGTCTAAAAAAAAAAAATGGTTCTTGAAGACCCATTAGTAAATTCTAAGATATACTTCTAATTGTAGTCTGAAATGTTTTTACTGAAAAAGATGTCAAATGAGATGTGGGACTAGGACAAATGTGTCTCCTAAATAAGTCTGTTAAAGGTGATCATCTTAATTTCCATGTCTTTACTTTCCAGTCTGTTTATGTGATGATGCTGAGGAGCTGGAGAGAGGTGAGCTCAAAGAAATTTCACGTGTTAGAGCTACTGAATTGGTAGCTTCTTAGCATTCCTGTTTTGACTTTTCAGAAGAATATTGTTTGGTAGGGTTCTTAATTTCAGAAGTGTACATGAAAACCATTATAGCTGTTAGGTACTTGATTTGCTAGAACTGACTGTGTAAGGTAGAATTAGGTTAGCTATGTATATTAGAAAATTCAAAATAATAGTGGCTTAGACGAGATTTCTGTGTCATGTAAAAGCAACTGGAGCTAGGCGGTCCGCAGCTATTGTAGGAGTGCCATAAGCTTAAGCATGCGATCTTGTTCTGCCGTCTTTGTCTTTGGATTCTGGTCTCAGGGTGGCTGCTAGAGCTCCAGCTGTTACCACATTTCAGGAAGGAGGAAAGAGAAAAATAAAGGCTGTCTCCTGCCTCTTAAGGTGACATCCCGGAAATGCCAGACAGCACTTCACTTCTCGTTAGCCAGAGCTTAGTCACATTGTTCCCAGTGGCTACAAGGTAGTGCTAGCAATGTCCTTCAGCTGATCTATTGCTGTCTCCAATAAACTAGGGGTTTGTTATTACCGAGGAGGAGGAAATGAATGTTGTGATGAACAACGAGCCATTTCTGCTACGATGACATTCCAGCTATTTCCCCTTTTCATAGTTCGGCCCTGTGGCTGTCTGTACTAGCCTATACAGTCATTACACCATCTAGTGCTTTAAGATATTTTTCTTTGAAATAAGATATTCGCATAGCTACTAAAATAATTTTAGCCACTAAGCAGCAACTTCTGGAAAGATTTTAGATGATATAGGAATTCTGACTGGTGACTGGTCAGACATGGGGGTCTGCTTTCTCTCATTTTTCCATTTTAGAGAGTGGATCATCTCCTGAAACAAGATTGTCTTACAGAAGCCTTGGCCCTTGCATGGTCTTTCCATGAAGGAAAAGCAAAAGCAGTCGTGGGTGAGTAGACAGAACAGCAGCGTGGTAGCCGTGGTTCTCCTGGAGTGGAGGGAATGGGCAGTGCTGAACGCTCAGAGCACTTTCAGCCGAGCGCTCAAGCGTTTAGAAACAGGGTGCTGTTAAACCTTATGGACTTTTAGTTAAGAAGGTTCATGACAAGTAGAGGGTATGGAAATTAAAATGTCACTTTTAGATTATTTCATAAGGGAATTACTATTAGAACGAAAGAGAAGTACATTGGTGTGCTATCTGGTCCCGTAGATTTGAGGTGTTCCCATTACAGCGTATTATCCAACATTTTGATACCTAAGAACTGTTACAATTATACCTGTTGTTACACATAGTTTCACGCCTAAAGATGTGGACTAACTTTTGTTTTTGTTGGATTTTCCTTCTCTGCAGGGTTATCAGGGGATGTCAGCAAGCGAAAGGCGATTGTTTCAGACCGGGTGAGTATTTTAATAGGGTCTTTAGTAGAAGATAGTACACATTTGCTTTTGGCATTTGCTAATGTCTTTGGGCACGAGTAGGCAAATGGCTGCAATCTAGGAGAGAGTGTATTACACACACACACACACACACGCTCTCTAGGGGTTAGGGGTTCAAGACTAGCATGGGCAACATAGCAAGATCCCATCTCTCCAAAAATAAAAAAAAATTCGCTAGGCATGGTGATGTGCACCTGTAGTTCTAGCTACTTGGAGGGCCGAGGCCAGAGGATCAGCTGAGCCCAGGAGTTCGAGGCCACAGTGGGCTGTGGTTGTGCCACTGCACTCCAGCCCGAGCAACAGAGTGAGACCTGTATCTAAAAAAAAAGTCACATTATAATTCTGCGTCATCTTGAATACTTTTTAAATTCCTTCTTAATCACCTTTCTGTTTTCCCTTGCTTACTCTTATGAAGATAATAAAGTACATAGCCAAAAGACAGCAGGAAGGAGGAGGAAGAAAACCTGGGAATCTGGATTATTTCTGAACCAAGTAATAGCCCACAGAAAATTGACATTCGTCAGTTTTTATGAACTTCCTAGTAATTATGAGAAATACTGTATGTGCAAATGTTTGTGTTGCCCAGAACTAGCAGAGAGAGTTAATGTTTTAATGTTATTATTGATTAGCATCAATACAATTGATGCTAGCAGAGAGAGTTAATGTTTTAATGTTATTATTGATTAGCATCAATACAATTGATGCTAATATTTAATATTGACCTTCTGTTCCTAATCCAGACTAGGCTGAATTAATTGACCACAGAATTCCCTCCCTTTTGTTGTGTAAATGCATTGGTAAAAATTATATCCCAAATTAGTATAAACATTTATAGAAAACATGGATAGAAATTGGTCACTCCTTAGACTCCAAATGATTTACTCATCTGTGCTCTTTGGGGAAACACCTACAGCAGAGGATTACTGAAGAACTGGAATGTTTCATTTCCTGAGCAGTGTGGATACCACTGAGGTCTACAACATGGAGATATTTCTTAAGAAAGATTAGCAAATTAGTTCTAGCCCTGAGGCTGAAAGAAACAAGACTAGATTTTAAAAAGTTGGTAACAAAGCCACTACAATTTTCAATTATAGTTTTAATACAATAACAAATTCTAATTCTGTATTATTTAGGAGGGCCACAAAAATATTGAAAAACTTTAGAGATATATTTTAATGTCTATGCCAGGCTGTTTTCCTTACAGATGGTAGAAATCCTATTCCATTATGCAGATCGAGCTCTGAAAAAGTGCCCAGACCAAGGAAAAATCCAAGTGATGGAGCAGCATTTTCAGGTACGTTTGCATGTGCTTCCTGTAGACGGTGCTCCGGAGGAGGTCTAATGTTGCTTTTTTATGTTACTTGAGAATGTGACTTTCATTTTTGGTTAAATATTTCTTAGTATTCAAAACTTTATTTCAGGGCTTGTGGAACATTCTAAATGATACCTTTTGAAGTAATAGGTATAGAGGAGTAAAACGCTGTGGAGTGTTACTCAGCACTTAGCTGCTCAGTACTATGTGGAAGGAAAGGATATATGTGTGAAGATCCTTTCCTGTAAATTGACACCTTATGGTGACCGACATCTTGCCGGTGACTAATATTTATGTTAACTGAGTTATTTAGTACTGCCAAGGTTTAAATTTAGTTCTCCAAGGAGCACCTGTGACTTAAGAATAATAGATCAATTAATATATATATGTGCATATATATATGTGATCTGTAAAATATGCTAATGAAAGACCTTTGGTTCATCTTGGAACTTAGTGAAAATGGAAGCAGGAAACGCTTTACAGATCCGTATGGTATTTATTGTGCAGCCCTTACTTTTCGCAGCGTTCTCTGGTTATACGTGTCACACATCTCTGCTCCGCGTTCCTGCTGCTCCTGTCCTTCTCCCTACCTCCTCTTTTAACAAACATTTGAGTGTCCAATACGGGGTCAGCAGACTTTTTCTAAAAAGACTCAGATGGCACATTCTAGGCTTTGCAGGCTACAGTGGTCTTTGTCACATCTTTTTCTTCTTTTTGATTTTTTTTTTAAACTACCCCTTAAAATTGCAAAGTCCGTTCTTAGCTGTGAACCATACAGAAGCAGGCTTTGGGCAGGATTTGGCTAACGTGTGCCTCCTTTGATCTAATATGTACTTGGCACTTGGCAATAGTGAGTAAAATTTACATGATCTTTACTATCTTAAACTTTGTAGTCTAGTCAGGATAATTTTTTTTGTTGTTGTTGTTTACATTAATGGAAATATTTAGAAGAAATCTAGGGATTTCAAAGCTCTAAAGAGCAGGCACAGGTCCTGTCTTTTCATATGCTATTTGCTGCTCGTAACATTGGAAGACAAGAACAGATATGGCAGTTTAGAGTTCACTGGTATTAGAGAGGCACTTGGCTTCCTGAACTGTGCTGTCTAATGCCACACTAGTGAGCTTCTGGTAGTAACTGTTACTACTCTGTTTGGTTGGATTCTTATTAAATTTATCAGTAGAGGAAGAAAACTATGCCTAGATAAAATTATAAAAATAAATAACTTAGGAAGAAGACATATGGTAGAAAGCATTTGGAAACCAAACTGTTTGGAAACAATACCTTATGTATAAATACTTGTGTATACCAGTGCAGTAGAGATAGCAAACTTAATGTTGTAACAAGAATATACCTATCACCAAGAGGTTGTCGGAACTCTGGCCATTGGAAGGTACACTGTGTTGAAAAAGATTATCTAGTAGAAAAAGCTAGGAAGAGTGAATGGAACGAGTGTGTGCCTGTGTGTGGAGAATATAGAAACCACCGTATTGGGGAAAAACGTGGTAGAGAGCTTCTTTCTAAAAGATGAAAGGAACAAAGGTGATGTTCTGATGGAGAAATAGCGAAGAATCTCAGATGATGGGAACTGCAGATGGCAGAACATACAGAGAAACAAATACTAGTAGTAATGTGCTCTGTAACCATCTGGCCACCTGTTAGAGGTTTCATTCTGTTGGTAAGAGTGTTTGATAACATTTTTGATATGTCAGTGGTTTAGTCTCATAGGAGATAAAGGAAACAGTGGAGGGAAGTATTACTCTGGATTTAATTTTTACTGATGGTTGGGGAAGTAGAAGAGATAGACCCTTGAGAGAAAAATTATCACTTTAACAACCATAATGAAAAATATACAGAGCATGAGTTCTGTACTTTAGAAAGCAAATATCTCAGAAAAAATATGGGCACAGTCACATGGTTACAGACTCCAAAAAAAGAATGGGTTCACAAAGAACGGGAAATTCTAAAATTTTGACCATTCAAGGAGAAAGTAATGTTAAAGAAAGGTTCTAACTGCCAATCACAGAACATCTATAAATATGGAGAAAGGCATATAACTAAAGATGCATACGAAAAGTACCATGAACTTGTAAGACTATCAGAAAGAGAACGATATGGTCCGGATTGTGCCTACCAGAATACTACGGAGCACAAAATAGGGATTTTTAACAAAGATTTACTGAGCACATACTATGTAAAGTGTGTGACATGCATTTTTATTCTCACAACAACCTCAGAGAGTAGATGTCATTTTTAATCCCCTCGGTAAGATTACAGCAATATTGCAGTAAATGGTGAAGCCAGGACTCATATCCAGGTCTTTCTGACTTCAAAGCCCAGTTCTTAACTAATCATTGTACTATACTGTTGTTTTAAGAGCAAGCACAGGGAGAAGATGTGTGAGAAGGGGTGATGTTAATAAATGACCAAGAATGAGAATTACAGCGAGCATCTAAACTGTTTAACACTTAACTGTGTAGCAGGCACTGTTACAGACCCTTCATACATATTTATTAACTCATTTAATTCTTACCACAACTCTGTGAGGTGGCTACTGTTACTATTCACATTTGTAAATTATGTCAAGCAGAGAGGTTAAATGATTTGTTCCAGGTCACAGAGCTAATAAATGAGAGAGCTAGGATTTGAATTTAAGCAGTGGGCTTCAGGGTTCACATCCAGACTGCCACACTGTACCATAGAACAATGCTTCTTATTTTGACTCCATTTTCATGACCACAGAGAATGGTTTTAAAGTGGAAAAGTCCAGATAAGCGTATTAAAAAACTGAAGCCTACCATATGTAATGTGTTATTATTTCATTATGATTGTTCAACTCTCAAGACTCAGTAGAATTATAACCCATGATACTGTTGAAACAATCCGAAGCACGAATCATTTGCAAGTAACTTTGGATCAGTTTTCAAATAAGACATTCTTAAGTGTGAAGTATATTCAGGGAGATACAATTTATTCCATTCAGGAGGACAGTTTTCTTCTGGAAAGTGTAACCTTCAGTGCATTAGGATGGGTGAAATGCATGCCCTGTCAGCCACCAATCTGTGGTTTTAAGTGTTTAATCATATTTAATCATGAAATAATTATATAGGTTGACTCTTAAAGTGCTTTTTAAAGTCCACTGGACTTTAGAGACTGTCTGCTGACATTCCCCATGTGATTTGTGAATGTTTTCCTTGAATTCACCTCAAAACAACCATGTTAAACTCATGTAATTACCTCTTTGAAAGGAATATGAAGATAGTATATTCCTGGAATGCCTGTGATATAATTGATTTCATTAAAACATTTGCCTAATTTTTCCATTATCTTTGTGGCTAAAATAGATTAGTAAATAGTAAATAGATTTGCAGCTAGATAAATATCCCTACTCCAAAATACTCTTTGGTGGCTTAATATTTATTAATTACATCTTAGGACTCTTTCTGAGACAGTCTTTTTTCTTTTTGAGACCGAGTCTCACACTGTCGCCTAGGCTGGAGTGCAATGGCATGATCTCGGCTCACTGCAACTTCTGCCTCTCAGGTTCATGCTATTCTCCTCCTCAGCCTCCCGAGTAGCTGGGATTACAGGTGCACACCATCACACCCGGGTAATTTTTTGTATTTTTATAGGGACCCCGGATTTCACTGTGTTGGCCAGACTGGTCTCTAACTTCTGACCTTGTGATCTACCTGTCTCAGCCTCCCAAAGTGTTGGGATTACAGGCGTGAGCCACCGTGACCAGCCGAGGATTCTCATACCCAAATCTTTATCATTAATTTGGATGAAGATTTAGCAGCTGGCCTGTGAAATCTGGGTAGCACCAAGAATCAAGGTTCAAAGTGATCTTGACAAGAAAGTGCAATCAGAATCATCATGAGATGAAATTTAATGAAGATTAACATCAAGACTTAGATCCATTAGATTCATGTAATCAAATTATGTGAGTACTGGCTTGGGAAGATCTAGCTGGACAGGATTTTAGTTGACCACAAAGTTACTATGAGCCAATAGTGTTAAGGCCCAGATAAAGGAGAGTACTAGCACTACTGGGCAGCCTGTTTGAAATAAAACCGCGAAGGCATTTTGTGGGCTGTTGATAAACTCAGTCACATCCCACCACTGAGATGGTGGAAGGTTTTAAAAACAACAGTTAAAAAAAATACTGAGTTGTTTAATCTGAGGAGAAAGCAAGAGGAGACATGCCTGCCTGTAGATGGTGGCAGGCTGTCCTGTGGGGTTAGCCACATTGCCGCAGAGGGAAGGCTTACTATGTAGGTGAGTAGAAATGGGGAGAAGATGCGTTTCAGTTTAAAATGACCTACTCATGATGTACCAGCAGGTCATTTTAAACATTTTAAAATAAGATGCGTCTCTTTATTTAGTTTTATTTTACCTTAGGTTCTGGGATACAGCTTACAAGAGCTCCTGAAAGAAACACTAAGCACAGAAAGGAACAAGTGCCAGCCACTGCAAAAGCACACCAAATAAGATGCGTCTCTTATGGGATGTATTCAAAGAAAGGCAGGATGACCAGCCGATAGAAGAGTTTTTAAAATACTTTTTTTTTACTCAGTGGGCGGAACTCAGATTCTGTATCAGTCTCAAGTAGCTGTTAGGGGAGACATAAGTCACCTCCAGTAAGCTGAAATTCCTGAAACAGATTTCTGTCGCAGTCGGAATACTGAGAATTTATTTCACCAGCAGGTGGCGCCTCCTGCCTGCCGCCTCAGTTTTAACCTTTACCCTGGTTTTGCTTTTCTCCGAGGATCAGTCAGTATCTGTCCTGACTTAGTTATAGAAGGTAACTTTTGGATCTTGTAACATTTTGGACAGCTTGTGGCTTTTATTTATCTAAGAAAATATTTCAACCTATATAATTTGTTTGTATCATAACTATTACAGTAGGATAAAAAGGAGTTAACGTCTTTTCTGCTTCATGTGTCTTGAGACTTGCCTTGTCTTCTGGCTTTCCTCATATGCA